TTATATGTATTGGTGATGACGTCTGTGATGATGCTAGTCTAACAGCAGCCGAAGGAAAGCTGTGAAACGAGATGAACTCTTCATATCTTGTGGAATTTTTCGTTTTTATTCTGTTCAGATTATCAAGGGGACTACATATACATAAAAGGAATTAAATGTCGTAATGAACGAGATAGATGGCTGAAGGTTGTGTGGATGTCTAAGTGGCATCTTTTTGAAACACTGAAAGTCTTCATTATTATCATTATTATTTTTGAATTCATAATTCAACTTCTTGTCCCTTATCTCAGTACATTGATCATTTAATGTTTGTTATTACCTCACCTAACTTATTTTTTCTTAGATTAATTAGCTATCACACCAATTTGGGTGACGTCTTCATATTGCGTGTTGCTAATTAAAGGTAAAGGGTAGAGTTGATATATGTAAAAATTTGGGAACTGTGGTACAGCATAATTCCATTATGGATAAGATTTTATTTTGATAAATCACACAATGTCACACAGTGATATTAACTGATGATCACGTTTCGAGCACTAATTATTGACACTCATAATCATATCAAGCTATTCACACAACTTTTTCTTTCATTTATATACATGTGTGAGATCGATTAGATATTGGAATAAAATTCAATATGAGATAATGTACATTCAGAAATAATAATAATACGAGTGTTATTGATCAATTGCAATCAGATGGGAAATAAGACGAGTGTTTTTATAGTCATAATAAGTATCTTGTTACAATGTTGTGATGTGCTTGAATTCAACTGAAATAGAATTTTGAGATTATTTATTATCCTCCTCTGGTTTGACTGGCGGTAATAATATCTTCCATATTTCTGGGATCACCAATATCCCCTATCGTAGCAGACATATTTATGAACAGCTGGGAAGATAGTGCTCTTAATACATTTAATCCTATTCAAAAAATATAGTGGAGATAAGTGGATGACACTTTCACAGTGTTAAAAACAGAACATATCTCTAGCTTCTTGACTCATATTAACTCACTAGTACAAGGAATAAAATTCACATTTGAAGCGGAAAATGAACAAGGACAATTAGCACCCACCGGTGGGTGCGTACTGATGAAGAGTCCCAAACTAGGACGAAACAGCTGTCCAGTACTCCCAGGTTTTCCAATGGTTCTCTAACTAATGTCAGCTCATGATGAAATCCTGAAACCAATCAAATCCCTACAAACCAACACTTGAATAACAATTAGCTATGTTAGATTGTAAGATAAAACGAATAGAAGAAGGTAAACTGCACACTGGTGTGTACAGAAAACCAACTCATTCTAATCGATACTTAGATTTTAATTCATCTCATCCGTTATCTATCTGTAAAGGCAGGCTTAGTTAAGTGTTTAACAAACCGAGCAATGGGACTAAGTAGTACAAGAAAAGACCTAAATCACGAACTAAAACAGATAGAAGAGGCTTTGGTGTTAAATAACTATCCTTTAAAATTCATTTGGAAGATCAGAAAAGGCCAAAAGCAAAATAAAAATAATTGTGAAACTAATAATGATAACATAAATAAGGAAGAAAATAAGGCATCTATTGCTATACCACATAAAGACGGGACATCTGAGACCCTACGTAGTGGGATTCTGAATAAAGCAGGAATTTGAGTGATATTCAAACCTACAAACTCACTCAAAGACAGGCTGTGTAGGTTAAAAGACACTGCCGGTTGACCCAATTAAACAAAATAATATAATTTACAAAATACCCTGCAATGACTGTGAGTGAGATCAACTATATAGATCAAACTAGTAGGTCAGCGGTAGTCAGATTGTCAGAACATAAGAATTTAGCCAAGGTTAGAATAATTGATTACACGAAGATAAGTAATTTAGAAAAAGCTCAGCAATTGCAGTACATACATTTACAAACACAGTGGCACAATAGGGTAGGAGAGGGTTAAAATTCTAAAAAGTAATCTAAGTAGGTGGAGAGAGAGGTTGATTACTGAATCCTGACTGGTTCATTGAGTCTACACCCAACACAACACATGCAACAGAAATGACTCAATGCAAATATCAGAAATATGGAAGATATTACTACCACCAGTCAGTCAAATCAGAGGAGGATAATATAAACAATCTCAAAATTCTATTTCAGTTGAATTCAAGCACATCACAACATTCTAACAAGTAACTTATTATGACTGTAAAAACACTCTTCTTATTTCCCATCTGATTGCAATTGATCAATAACACTCGTATTATTATTATTTCTGAATGTACATTATCTCATATTGAATTTTATTCAAATTTTTCTATAGTTTGGTTTGTAAGGGTTAGACATGTTTTTACGAGTTGATCACGGATTGATATCAGTTAGAGAAGCATTGAAAACCAGGGAGTACTGGACAACTGCTGTTTCATCCTAGTTTCGGAATCATCAGCAGTTCAAATATCTAATCATCAATTCTACACATGTATATAAATGAAGGAAAAAGATTGTGTGAGTAGCTTGATATGATTATGAGTGTCAATAATTAGTGCTCGAAACGTGATCATCAGTTAATATCACTGTGTAACATTGTGTGATTTATCAAAATAAAATCTTATCTTTAATGGAGTTATATGCTACCACAGTTTCATCTTCTTTCATTGTTGAGTCTTTTGGTTAACATAGAGCTTAGTAAATTGATTTATTTGGATTGTATGCGATGTCAATTCCTAAAGATTTGAACAGTCTTGAAGTGATTAATGAGATATCCTTTATATATGACACGCACTCCCTCATGTCACTACATATAGACGACAATGGACATCAGTTCGACTGGGACAACGTTGAAATATTAGACAGAGGAAACACCAAGAATGCTAGAGAATTTTTAGAAGCCTGCATGGTATTCCAGTGAATCATCAATCAATGGACACATAGAAATAGACGAAATTTATCCACCGATAAGGAAGAAACCTCACACACACAAAGGATCAGAGGTCAAGTCAAAGAAACAATCAGTCCCAATAGCAATACAAGTAGCTCAGAGGGTGTGAAAACACACAAAAACAAACAATCACGTTCAAAGTTAGGTCACCGAGAGAGAGAGATGAGTAATAAACTCGTGGAGAAATCTGAAAGCTCACTTCGACAAATTGAAGTATGAGCTGAGGTGAAGATGTTGGCTAGTAGGGCAATAAAAGCTTCTCACATAAATTATCCAGCTAGGTCAGAGTCAGAGAACACAACTACATCAAAATCATCCACCTGAGCTACAAATCTTCTCCATCGTAGATACATATATATATGTACTATCTTAATGAAGATAAAGAACAGTTATTTTAACAAGGAATTAATTGGATCTATATGATGGTTATTGACAGATCCTGTGGATCCACTTGTATAAGTAGCCAGCAGTGTAATCTAGTAGCTAAAACCTTTTAGTTTCTGTATTTTCTTTACTTATCTAGGCGGCATCATTCCAACTACAGACAGGAGCACAAATGAAGATGTCAAAACTGGAATCAGAAAAGCCAGGTACACCTTCATCACTCCGAATTCAGTTTGGAAATCTACTACACTTGGCATAAATAACAAAAAAAAAGGATTTTCAACACCAATGCTAAGTCAGTCAGTCAGTTCTCCTTGAATATGGGATTGAAAACTTGGCGACCACTTCACGAAAAGCATTTTCAATAGCCTTATGCAGGCTATGGATTTCGCGGATGACTTATGTTTGATGTCACACAAAATCGAAGACTTACAAGCGAGAACCGACAAACTGGTTGAAGAAGCAGCCGGCAAAGACAAGACTCCAGGTGAACATAGAGAAGACAGAAGTTATGAAAATAACCAACCAACCAACGACAGCATCCAACGTCAATCACCATCAACGGGAGGGATTTGAAAGAGGTTACTTCATTCACTTATCTAGCATTGAGCATTGTCTCAACTACAGGAGGAACGGATGAGGATGTCAAATCGAGAATCGGGAAGGCGAGAAACACATTCATCAACCTGAAATCAATCTGGAAATCTTCGTCACTCAGCGCCACCAACAAAATTCGGATTTTCAATACAAACGTAAAGTCAGTTCTTCTATACGGATCAGAAACTTGGCGGGCGGGTTACAAAGAATATTTCCAACCAATAGGTTGCAGACCTTTATTAACAACTGTCTTCGCTCTATACTGAAGATCAGATGGCCGGAAAGAATCACCAACAAGGAATTATGGGAACAAAGAATGCAAGAACCAATCGCCCAACAAATATGCAGGAGAAAGTGGAGATGGATCGGACACTCGCTGAGGAGACCGCTGGGTGATATCGCGCGCCAAGCCCTTGAGTGGAACTCGAAAGGGAGGCGGCGTGTTGGACGTCCAAGGGTGACATGGAATAGAGCGTGTGAAGAGGAGTTGAAAGAATATGGATTAACATGGGTGCAGGCGAAAAGTACAGCAGAAGACAGAAGTGGCAAGTGAAGAGGTGCAGTTGAAGTCCTATGTTTCACTAGGAACCCAAGGGAGCAATAATAATAATATGCAGGCTTTTAACAACAGCTGTTTTTATACCGATTCCATACGGAAGATAAGATGGCCGGTGAAAAGGAATAATCAACAAGAAAATTTGGGAACGCACCAATCAATAACCTATTGCTCAAAAAATATCCCAAAGAAAATGGAGATGGATCGGATATATGTTAGAGAGACCGTTTGGTGACACCGTGTGCCAGGCCATCACTTGAGTATAACTCGAATGGGTAACGACCAGTTGGGCGTGCCTACGAGGTTGATATGGAGAAGGTTGTGTGAAGAGAGGGAAAAGATGAAAGCTTAGGATGACTTTGGGGGGGCAGGTTAGCTGAAGAGGACTGCAGAGAATAGGACGACGTGGAGATCTGCTATTGAAGCTCTATGTCCTAGTCATAACCAAACGAAATAATATAATAAATTCAAGAAAAATAAGTAGCTAAATACTAAAAATGTTTTTTTCAACAGGATAGTTCAGCTATGGAGTTTAGTGAAGTCGACAATGTTATTCAATATTCAACAGTCTGACTATGCGGCCCTAATTAAGTGGTAAAGGCAACACGGTATAGCATACTTCATTGGGATCATTTCAATATAAGTTAAAAGAATGATAATCCAAGGACATATAACATGGAGGCGAAGGAAGTCAAGTTGTTTGTTCACAATCACTTAGTTAGTTCTTAGTCTAAATTAATTTGCAGAATGAAACAAAAGTTAGAGTACATCATCAGCAACAGTATTAATAATCATGATTTACTTTATTAAAAAAAAAACAGCATCGATACAGCATGGAATTTTCAGTAGTGCATCTAATTTACGCCACGAAAGACATTACAGAGTATAGAGGTAACGAAAATTGATACTATCAACCTTTTAGTATTAGCGGAAACACGAAAGTAAAAAAAAATGTACAGAAAGTATAAAAAGATGATAATAATAACATCAATAATTAAAATAATAGAATATTATTTTTTATAGATAAAATAAAAATAATTATAAAATTCTACATACTAACAGTTTGAACAGACATGAAGGTGTGATGTTAGCTGATGCATAGGAAATCCTGATTAATAAATAAAAATGGATATGTATCATTAATTAATAATACTTGATCAAAGTTTCCCGACTGTCTATATCTACTTATGGAGACGTTAAGACATTGTTTTACAACTGTTTACCCGCGCACACACACATACACACTGTGTTTAAAGTGTTTAACAAAGGTAGACCAATATTTGTAAGTCCGACATCGAATTTTGAATACAGCTCATACAGTTTTTGTTTATTATACTTGTTGATACTTGTTTTATGACGCATGATTGGGCAAAGCTTTTAAAAACAAGTGATGTTCCTTTTATATATAAACCTGCGCATCCTGGATTCCACTGCTAGTCACCATCCACCAATTGTATACTAATTAAATGCCCAGACATTGTCGAAGCATCTGCACAAGAAGCCGACATGTCAACCTGAGACCGAGCCTTTCGGTCCAAACAATCGACGGGAAAATCAAAAATTCAAACCTGTGTTATGTTAATTTCGATTAATTTCCCTGAAGAAGTTCGGACCAGATTGCCGGACGAAACGTTGGAATTATTCATTTCAATATCGCTGAGATTTTATAAATATAAATTTTTACAAATATCAACCATGTATACTCTTAGGAATACGACATAATTCTTTCTGAATAGTCGGGGAAAGACTAAGGAGGAGCAATAAAGAATAATAGGTGAGATGCAAGAACTAACAAATAGTAAAAGTATAGGTTGAGTTATACCTGAGTGTAGGGAGCAATAATAATAATATGCAGGCTTTTAACAACAGCTGTTTTTAATACCGATTCCATACGGAGGATAAGATGGCCGGTGAAAAGGAATAATCAACAAGAAAATTTGTGAACGCACCAATCAATAACCTATTGCTCAAAAAATATCCCAAAGAAAATGAAGATGGATCGGATATATGCTAGAGAGACCGTTTGGTGACACCGTGTGCCAGGCCATCACTTGAGTATAACTCGAATGGGTAACGACCAGTTGGGCGTGCCTACGAGGTTGATATGGAGAAGGTTGTGTGAAGAGAGGGAAAAGATGAAAGCTTAAGATCACTGGGGGGTGGAGGTTAGCTGAAGAGGACTGCAGAGAATAGGACGACGTGGAGATCTGCTATTGAAGCTCTATGTCCTAGTCATAACCAAACGAAATAATATAATAAAATCAAGAAAAATAAGCAGCTAAATACTTGAACTGAACCTGAACTTCGCCGATTATATATGTCTGATTTTCCACAAACTGGAAGATATACAAGTGAAAAGCAACAAGCTGCCTATGGAAGAAGCATCAAAGATAGGACTTCAAGTGAACATAGAGAAAACAGAAGTGATGAAGATTCCTGGGCAACACCGACAGCAACAACAACAACAGACAACAATCAACCGGTGTAAATGGGAGAAATCGGAAAGAAAGAACCTCCTTTACCTACCTACCTGCTTGTCTGGAAAGCATCGTTTCAACTAGAGACGGACGGAACTGATGAAGATATCAAAGCGAGGATCGGGAAAGCAAAGCAAGCTTTCATCACTCTCAAGTCTGTGTGGAGATCAACAGCACTCAGCATGAAAAATAAGATCCAGATTTTCAGCTTCAATGTGAAATCAGTGCGGCTTTATGGATCAGAGACTTGGTGAGTCATGAAGAGTACTTCGAACAAACTACAAACCTTCATCAACAGCTCTCTTTGCTCAATGCAACGCAAATAAGATGACCAGAAAAGATCAGTAACAGGGAGAGATCTCAGGGAGCGAACCAACCAGTAACCGATTGTGCAAGAAACAGGCAGGAAGAAATGGAGATGGATTGACCATACTCTGAGGAAACAATCCAGCAGGTGACATCACTAGACAAGCCATTGCTCGAGTGGAACCCGAAAGGGAAGCGGCGAGTTGGTCGTCAGTGTGACGGTGACTTGGAGGAGGTCATGTGAAGAGGAGATGAAAGCATATGGGCAGACGTGGAGTCAGGTGGTAACTCTAGCAGAAAACCGAAAGCAATGCAGACGCGCGGTTGAAGCCCTATGTTCCTCTAGGAACTAAAGGGAATAATAATAATCACTAAGTGGACGTGTTTAATCATTGCGATACATTTCTTTTTTGTTTTGACACTAGTAACACTATCTAGCAGGTAAAAAATGGGTTTGAACATGTGACCTATTAGCTTAGATAATTTAAAAGATCTTCCTAATTTTACACCATGTGTTCATACAATGACACAAGGGTGACTTCTTCGTTGTTTCCTGAGTGGTAGCACGATGTGTCAGTAAAATCAGTGGAAGTTCCGTTTCCCAGTTACCACCCTTCGAGGCCAGCCACTACTTCAGTGTACGGTTGTTTCTCTCCGTTAGGCCATTCGTTTGTGGATGGTATGGGGTCGTTCTGATCCTCTTGATGCCCAGCTGTTGCAAACGGGAAGACAGCTAGTATTTTCATGTCTTCCACTCTGAGTGGCCAGGTTTCACAACCATAAAGGAGGACAGAGCGGACTGATGAGCAATACACCCGCCCTTTGGTCGATAGTCGAACATCTCGTCTACGCCAGAGTCGGCGTAAACTGGCAAATGCGAAACGGGCCTCCTGTATTCGTGCTGAGATTTCGTCAGAGATCAACACGTTGGCGTTGGCTGATGATACTTCCCAAATAAGTGAAGCGGTCAACGTGCTCTACCAATTCGCTTTCTATTTTTAAACTAGGCGTCGATGTAGTCCAGTCCTGTAACATCATCTTGCATTTGGCGGGAGCGAATCGCATGCCAAACATTCGTAGATTACAGCTCAAGGTGTTCAGAAGACTCTGCATTTCGTCAGCGTCTTCGCCTAGAAGGACTATATCGTCTGCATATTCCAAGTCAACGAGATTATTCCCAGGTAGCAAGTCAATCCCTGAATCGCTGAAGTCACTAAGGGTTAAGTCCATTAACACATCTATGATGAAGTTGAATAGAAAAGGGGATAATGGGCAACCTTGACGGACACCACTGGTCGTCATCAGTTCAGATGACAGCTCGCCGTAAGCCCTCACCTTGCTGTATGAGTACGAGTAGAGTGCCTTAATCAGTGCAATATATTTTCTCGGAATTCCCTTTACAGCCAAGCATCTCCAGAGAACTTCTCGATCGACAGAGTCGAATGCCGCCTTTAGGTCAAGAAATATAATGACTGTTGGACGCCGGTAGGAATGCCTATGTTCTAGAATCTGTCGGAGGGTGAAGATATGATCAATACACCCTCTTCCTGGTCTAAAGCCTGCCTGGCTCTCTCGTGTTTGTGCTTCCCGAGCACCACTTAGTCTACGCATGATTATTGAGCCTAAGACTTTAGATACTATATTAGTCAAGCTAATCCCTCTGTGGTTATCACAGGAAGACTTGTCTCCCTTCCTGTATATGGGGATAATCGATGACTTACACCAACCCGATGGGACTTCTTCTGATTCCCAGACGCTGCCTAGTACCTCAGTTAATGCAGACAGTAAGCTGTCTTCACCGTACTTAAATACCTCTGGAGTCATTCCATCAGGTCCCGCTGCTTTGCCTAGTTTTAGATTGGTGACAGCTTTAGTAACCTCATTTAGGGATGGAGGACCTGTGTCTGTATCCCATTCAGGGAGGGGTTGGATGTTCGGCAGATTAAGCGTGGCTGTGGACCAATTAAACTGCTCCTCATAATGCTCTTTCCAACGATCCAGTCGTCTATCCTGTGAGCTAATTATAGTGCCATTTTTTTCCGAGATTGTTTCACTAATGTTTCGACCTTTTGGGTGCTACATCCTCTAGTTGAGGATTGTTACTGACCGGCTTGTCCCACTGTACCCATCTTTGAAGCTGACTGGCGTTAACTCGTTTCTGTTTATCACCTCTTCGGATGGTATATACTTGACCCCGTCTTTTTGTGATTGTGTACGGTCCTTCCCACTTTGGAAGGAGTTTTCGTGAACCTGGCCCGCATCCAACTGTATATCTTTTGTCTCTACACTTCACTTGGTCCCCGACTGCAAAGATATTGCACTGAGTCTTTCTTTTCAGCTGAGACTTCGCGACGTCACTCCGCTGCTTCTTCATTACATTCTTGACTGCTTCTTTCCGCTCTGCTTTTAATTTCGTCGTACTCCATTTTTGGTGACGAGGCCAGGTCTCGTTGTGTATTGGTAATCGTGGTTTTCTACCATACATCAGTTGGAAGGGTGACTTCTTCGTTGTTTCCTGAGTGGTAGCACGATGTGTCAGTAAAATCAGTGGAAGTTCCGTTTCCCAGTTACCGCCCTTCGAGGCCAGCCACTCCTTCAGTGTACGGTTGTTTCTCTCCGTTAGGCCATTCGTTTGTGGATGGTATGGGGTCGTTCTGATCCTCTTGATGCCCAGCTGTTGCAAACGGGAAGTAAACTCTTCACTCTCGAAACAGGGACCTTGGTCTGTCAGTATTGTCTTCGGTACGCCGTGGTCTGCAACAATGTGTTTAACTACTGCATCTGTCACGGTTCTTGCACGTTGGTCTGGGATTGCTACGGCGTCTACCCATCGTGTCGCGTGTTCCGTCATCACCAAGAGGTACTGATTACCATTGGATGTCTGAGGAAATGGACCCATGACATCTACGGACCACAAGTCACCTATCGCGGTAACTGGAATCGACTGAAGTGGTGGTCGTATACACCGGTCACCTTTCATCAGCTGGCACCGTGGACATCCAAGTACGTATCTTGCTACGTCTTCTCTCATACCTGGCCAGTACATACTTTGTCTTAGGAGGTCGGTCGTTCTGGCCACGCCTGTATGCGCTAGCTGGTGACATTCTTCTATCATGTCGTGGCGCGACGATT